GGGGGGCGTGTCCAACCACGGAGGCGCCATTGATTCCAGCTTCGTCACATACTCTCAAAACATGCACGATAGATTGCATGAAGACTAAATTATCAATAAGTGTGAACGTGAATGATTGGTTTTTTGGTTTCAAACAGCCCTGTGATTTGCAGGTGCAGTCCAGGATGGGAAAGGCTTCAGTTTCCCAGTGATCCTATCGATGACAATGTAAAATAATAGACGAATGGATAAAGGACACAATACAAAGAGTCTTAATTGTACCCCTGAGGCAGCTGCGCCTTGCCCATTTAAACACACATAGGCTTGTACTGACATTTATTGCAGAAACTGATTTCCAGCATAAGATAGAACTGCTTACATATTTTTAATATAATCACTTTTAGCCTACAGTAATATGAAGAATAGGACAGCAATAATGTAAATTTGTACAACAAGTAAGAAATTCGATTTGTTACATATGATGCAATACAGCAGTGGTTGTACAGTGTATGCTCCGGTACAACATTGATATAACAAATATACCACATAAGACCTGGTAGATGGGGGCCACTGCTATACATTTTGAATACGATATTACTGTATTTTCAACATACATCAACATTCAGCTTCAGTACAAGTCAGAGCCTTTTGTCATTTCAAGTGCATAATACTGGTTTGACTACACTGAATATTAAATATTTGCTTGACTATGTTCACCAGTTTCATGTAATACAAAAAAATCAGTATTATAAAATGGTGTACCAAGTGTCTCAACATATGAGCACTAACATATTTGCATTAATTGAAGTAAACTCCATTTGAAAGAGCTGGATAAATGTAGAGTAGAGATGTGGTGTGATGCATGAACTCCTTTTCCAATAGCTACATAAGTGACACGTGCTACATAATGTACGCTGGTGGCTGACATTCAGCAATGTTTGTGAAATACACTGTGTTAGGACATAATTATGCAATTGCGGTCATGAATCTGGTGCCCTGATGATGATTTTTTTGCAGATAAATACAGACCGAGTGTCAGTGTTTGAAAGATGCAGTCACGACGTTTGTAACCATCTCATCATGTAAAATGTAAACCTCTGTCTGCAAGATTTATGCAGGTGATATTACAGTTGACAGGTCATTTTCTGATCGTGGCAGTTGGTATTAAAAAAAAAAGTATGCTTGAAGAGAATATCTTCAACCAACATGATCAAAATCACCTTCATAAATCAAGATCACTATACGTGCCGTATACATGTACTTTGTATACCATACTCAAAGTTTGCAAAATATAAACTGCCCACTAATTGACGATTCTTCTACAAGCAATTATGCGGGGAAAACAATTCAAATGAATTTCCGATATAACAGTCAAACTGAGAGAGATTTTCAAAAGCATACCGAGGAACAGCATTGGACTTCATTGTACAAGAGTATGTCTGTGACTGGCTGGCAACCGGTCCAGGATGTCCTCTGTCCACCTCTTACGCACAATCCTAATGAGGAAAAGTGCTTTTCATCCTACATGGATAGATGCACATGAATCAAGTACATGGTATTTAAGAACATTCAGTCTCTTGCTTCAGGTTAGCCAAAGAAAAAAACATTTTTTGTAAAAGTCTGACAAAAATGTCCATGATCTGTAGCCGAAAGTGCATAGAATTTCTCTCAAGGGAGTGAGTATGCATGTTCCCCCTGTACTCCGGCTTCCTCCCACATCCCCAAAACATTCTTTTGAGGTCAAATCTATATTGTCCGTAGGTGCAAATGAGAGAGTGAAAGGCTTGTTTGTCTATTTGTGCCCCGTGATTCGCTGGCAATCAGTCTGGGGTGTTTCCTGCAGCTCACCGGTGACTCTAATGAGGACACGCCCTATTGAAAATTAAATGAAATGAAAAGCTTCTGAATGTAAACTAATAATAATAGTAAGCATGTATCGTGTGGAATAGATTCATGTTTCGATCTGCTTCCTTTCATATGAATGAGTGCAACTAATATTCTTCATTTTAATTCCACTTGGGATGATTCTACTTGGGTTTTGCATTTATTGCTGTAGTTAGAAGTAGGTCAACCGTGGGCTAAAAATTTCATCAAACTTGCCAAGTAACTAGTCACCGATGATGCACATATTTGAACTTTTAGACATGTCCATTTTTTTTTTGCATGAGGCAACTGCAATGCCACTTTTATATATCGAGATTTTCAAAGCTATGGCAATGATGTGCAGTGTTAACAGTCTTTGTACGTGTGTAAGTTTCACATATCACGAATCACACTTATTGCTTTGCTAATTCACACATTCAGGATTTAGGCATTTGTGTATCACTCATGCAGCCAAGTGTTTGTATGCTACAGATATTCTCAATTTGTTTTTGTTTTTTTCATGCGGTCATAATGAAGTCTCCACACAAGAGCCGTTTCTGTGGAAGGACCTGTGGTTGTGGCAGTTCTCGCTGCAGTGGACGATGAGCAGCGGGTAGCACAGTGCGTCGTCGTAGTCCGGGGGTTCTTCGTCGTCCGTGGTGAGGCGCTCCGACAGACAGCGGGTGTTTTCGCTGGGACTTTCCTGTTCGTCCAAGCTCCCGCTCCTCCAAAAGCAGCTTCTTTGTGATCCGTAGCGTCGCGCCAAGGAAAATCGGCTGCCGCTGAAGGGGATTCGGGAGCTGGCTCCCGTGCAGATGCTGAGGGCGCTTCTGGAGAACACTGAAGAGCAGCTGATGGCCCTGTGGCAGCGCTCACAATTCTGACGCATGCCACTGAAGCTGGAAGGGCACTGGGCTAGATCCATGAGGCCTGCCTCTGAGTAACTGGGCACCAACTGCTGGTTGGACCGAATGTGCCACTCCAATTCTGTGCTGTCGATAGTGTTTACACGAGGGATACGTCGCCAATACGGACGATCCTCACACGGCGTAACCGGAATGTAATCATGTCCAAAGAGTTTCTCGACACGATAGTGAACGTATGCGGTTCGATACTCTGTGAAAACCCGGAGAGGCCATGAGAAGGTGAGGAATGAGGCGAACCAGAAGACATAATGGGACAGATACCAGGGGTGGTGCTCTGGGTTGGACAGAGCCATGATGTATTCCTTCAGCTCAATGTTTTTCAGGTGCATGCCCTCCCTGGCCTCCATGTAGTCATCGAGGCCTTCGTTGTCGGTGAAAAATCTCGCTCGCTGTGTCAGGTACGAATTCTCAGATTCAACATTGGCGAAGCTGAAGCACTTGGTAAAACGCATCTTTGTGAGGGCTGACTTCTCCAGGCTTAGCAACTGCTTGGAGACGTCTTTCACTCCGCAGTGACCGTAGTCAAATTCGGCTTCCGCCACGTGAGTGTTGACTCGCTCGTGGTAAACCTGGGTACTGGTGTACGCGTCCCCATTCCGGTAGCGTGTGACTTGCCTGGTGCGACGCACATAGTGGTAGCTGATGGCCTTCCACCAGATGCAAGGTTTGGCTTGCTGCATTCTTTGGATTCGCTCATAAATGCCATCCACGTCGACTTTGTGCTGCAGCTCGTTCTGCACGTGACAGTGCCAGCATTCCACCAGGTAGACCAAGTAGAGCATGCCCAGGAGGGCCAGAGGAATGTAAATGTAACCATCGGAGCAGGGACTGTCATGGTACATCATGGATTTGCCTTTGAACGCACTGTCAAAGGTGAGGCGGGTCACCTCGGTCACATGACACCAAACCATAGCTCCCATGCAACCGTACATGAGAACGGACAAGAGAAGGCATTTCCAGAAACTCTCCCGACACAGTGACTTGCTCAGAGATTGCTTGAGGGGTTTTTGCTGCAGGGAAAGAAGAAAGAAGGAAATATATAAAAACTCTGACAAGGATCTCCTTGTAAGAAATACAAACATGACCGGTATTGTTTTGATTGTTGGTTCTTTGTTATGTTTCATTTCGTTTATTGTGATCTCCATTAGTTTTGGCAGACTGCATCGCGATTCTTTCTGGAATCCACTTGCACCATTATCTTTAGAGTGCGATACACCACTACAAAAAAATACACACAACAAAACAACAAAAATGACAACACCTTAAAGCAATAACAACAAACACATACATTCACAATATTTCCCAAGCGTAGACGAAAACACACCTCATAAATAGCGAGTTGGATACATGTAAATCAGTATATATTAATTAATCCCAGTATTTTACATTTATTGCCCCAAAAAGCTTACGGATTTGATCATCTTAGTTTAACATTTTACACTACGCAGCCTCAACCAACAGCCGCAGACAGACTGACTTAAAATGCTCTTTCACTGGTAATATCTTAAACGGATGTCAATTATTTTCTTGAATTAACAATTTTTTACTGGTTTCATTTTTTACATTATCAATGTATTTCGCCCATGCTAATTTATCATCAACTCCTATCCCCGGAAAATGGTTTCTTGAAGTAATTCAAATGCCACGTTCATTCACATATAATTGGTAAATTCAGTTTAGGCTCATTCATTGAAATTGTTGTTGTTCCAAGTAACGTGCATTTTTTGGAAGTGACTTTTACCATTTATTTGTTAGCAGGAAAAAAAATGACACTGCCAATTTCAATTCTTTGTCGAGACGTGGAACACAGCAAGCAAAAGACAAGGCAAAGCAAGGCAGCTTTATTTATATAGCATATTTCATACACAAGGAAACTGAATGTGATTCACACAGCCAAAAGCGCAGCCCCTGCAAGCATTTACAAACAGAACACTTAACGACATACAGAATCAAAGCAGCGAGAAGAAAAGTGGCTTATAAAAATGACAAAGAGGACACGCATTGACAACATTTAAACACATGAAGAGAAGACTGAAAGAAAAACATTTAAAAGTGAATAAATAAGAGTATGTCTCCTAAATAACTAAAAAAAAAATATGATGTATGATTGATGAGAAGACCTGAATCCAAATTACGGTGGGGGAGCAAAGTTTTGAAGCTGGATTAAAAAACATTTACACTTCGGGCTGACTTCACTTCTGTTGGCAGCGTATTCCTTTTGTGCACAGCAAAAACAGCGAAGAAGAATAACAATACAACTTTTCTATAAATCTGGATTAAAATGCAGATCGCAAATTTCATTTATTTTATAATGATTATATGATTTGTAATCCTACTGGCCAGATTGGGCCTATCGGAGAAAGAATTCATGCTCAACGTGGGCCCAATTAGACAAGGTCATGACTCATGAGCAAACTGTCATGGTTGATGTGTTTGGGACCAACAGGTGGCTCCGTAGGGCTCCACCTACAGCGGCACTGTTGGCCATCATGTCATTCGTATGTTTTCTGTTAAAAGGACTCCCAGCCCGACCACTCAGTGTCGGGTCATCGTTTCTGTTGCTGTCACTGCTTCTGTTGGTCAGTATTTGTGTCTTACTGCCATGGATTTTTGTTTGTATTGCTTTTTTTTTGTGTGTGTCTGCCATGGGCTGCTGTTTTTTTTTTTTTTAACTTTGGATTCTTGTTGATTGAAGGTCTCTGTTCTGGATTTAGTTTTCTCAGTGTTTTGCTAATACAATTTGTCAAGTTCACCCTGCACCTCCCTCCAGCCAAAATAACCAGCTACACATACACACACACACACACACACACACACACACACGCACACACACACACACACTGTACTGTATCGTGTAGTGACTAAACAATGCAGTTTTACGATGTGCACTGTTGGATTGAGCCAGGCCTAAGATAAACAATATACAGTAAATGATGAAACAGGAGCGCCATGTCAAGATGAAGTGATGGAAATGTGATGGATTTATTGCAAAATAAATTAACAAGTTAATGGGTTAACTCCGAGGAACACACAACAAGAAAAATACTCATCCCAAAAATATGGTTTGTTCAGTGTGTGTAGAGCTTTTTGGTGTGTGTGATAGGTTTTTGGGGGTGGTTGTGAGAGGTTTACATAATTTTTGTTCCCACTTTTATTTCCATTGATTATCCTCACAAAAAGGAAATCACACATCGATGTGCTTTTATACACGTGGTGGCTCATCAGTGGGGTGACAGTGTTTTGAATTTTCAACATGTAAAATTTGTTTTTTTGGGCTGCTGCACTGGACTCCAGCAATGAGTTGTATGTATTGTACATTGAGGCACACAAATCCTAGCATATCTCTAATGTTGACAGTGCAAATCCCACTTTTTATATACTATTGCATTTTGGATAGTGGTGGTTTTCGCACACCCAATGAGAAGACAGTGTGGCACCGTCCTTCTGTGAAAACACATGAGTCCACATTAGCATCGCAAGCCGTCAACGCATGCACATGGATTGGTTTACCTTCCCTAACACACAACAAGATGTATGCGTTAAGAAGATACCTCCTCCCTGGTGTCTTCTTCAAACACGACGGTGGTAGTAGTGGTGGTGGCGGTGCTGCTTTCGCTGGCAGTCGCAGCCGACGCTGGAGGAGACATGATGCCGATCGGCGATTGATGATGATGACGGGGCGTGGAGTACCTCGTTAATGCACACCCATCTTGACTGACAGCAGCTACAGTTTGAGGTAAGCGAGGGGGAAAAAAAGCTCAAGACGCCCGGAAGGACTTGGGAGACAACTCTGTGAATGCGGTGGCTCGAAGATGGATGCGCGCGTGTGGGAAAGCCCGCATCCAAAACTACCACCCGCCCCTTTGCGCCCCCTCTTTACGGTGTTCCGCAGTAACACGATAGCAAATCGGGGTTCAGAATATTATGCCACACAGAGCATGACCTGCACTTCCGGGTCGCGGCTTTTATCAGACGACGTCGTTCGTGGCGTGTTTACGCTTGGTAGGGTTGCTCTCCATGGTGCTGAGGTAGGCAGGAGGCAGGTAGCCCACACAGTGAGACGAGGCTGTTGCAGAAATCACTTAAAGGGAAAGCACCGCTCACACCTCCCAAAACAACAACACTACACTGCTGCGCATCTGGCGTTTTTTTTTTAACTCAACCAAACACGAATAATTGAACACATCACATCCCATTTTATAAGATGCAGTTTTTCCTGAAATATGCTTTGTAAATATGTTCTTGTCTGTGTTTGTGAGCACAACAATGGGGAAACCCACCTCGTTTTCAGCTGAATCCAGAGCCGGTCAGTGCCTCTGGATTCAGAAGATTGAAGAGCTTCACGCGTAAAAACCATACCAAAGAAATCATACGAATGAATCGTTGAGGTGAGAAACCAAATATAGCAACATCCAAAATAACGCATGCACTGTAAAAGTATCATCTGTCTTGTAATGTTTGGTTTAAAGAAAAAGATGCAATGGCAACATGCAAGAATCATTATTTATACAAGAACAGCAATGAGCACGGGAAGAAGCGTTTCATGGCGTTACTTGTTCCGACCTAATGTTACTTTTCAGAGGAGACACGAAAGCTCAAATTTGGGGATGATAAAAAGATTAATTCACTTTAAAATTTCCCCATTCCTTTTCAACATGGTAAATCGTTAAGAGCTCACTGAAAATGACAGTTACTTTAAAATGAAATATAACCGTTTCCTAACTACTAACGTTACTAACACAACATTAAAGCGGTTCATGATGCCTGTCGTCTTTACGATGGTGGTCTAATATGACTGTATAATTATGCACCATTATTAACTTCTCTATGTGTTTGTCTGTGAACTGCAGTATGTTGCAACTGAGACAACACATGGGGAAAAAATACATCAAAAAACTTTTTTACACCTTATTTACTTTAGTGAGAGAAACTGAAAATAACTAACCCCAAGAGTCGGTCAAATGTTGATTTATTTTATTTAACAAATGGGCAACCAACAAAAAATCTGCAACACAGAAAACTTAATTTACTATTACATCTTAACATATGAGGTGACTACTGTGCGTAAGAAGCTACCAAAAGTACAGTATCAAATGTAATTCCAAAGGCACAGTCCAGTCAGTGTGTGCCACACAGACCCAAAAATCATAGTAAATTCGGCATTCACACGAGACATTCAATATACAAAAAAACTGGGGAGATGCCCAGCCCACACTAAATTAACGGAAAGGTAACAAAACACAACAGGGTGAGGGGCCACAGAGTGGACCACTGAGCACAGAACAATGTATTCTAACAAAGTAGAACTAGATTAATGAAACAAACTGCGTTTGTCTTGCTTTAATTATAAAGAATCTAATCTTTTTCCCAAGGTCTCCTTTTCTGGTGACGAAGTGGTCCCTTAAAGAAAGACAGAATACAATTTATGGCTACATCACTTCATCTGAAAGACAAGCATAAATCCTGACGTTCTTATGCACTAGCATACTTTCAAGAATCCTATCGCACGGTTGCTCCCATTCGTCAAAACGATGGTGCCAATTACCACAAATCATTGAAATAATTAATTAAATATCAACTTCTACTTACAGAATACATTTTGGAGAGGTTGTTGAAAAGCACTTGGCCTGCGCTGACTTTGTTCCTCACCCCTCTTACGGTCCCGTTTTTGCTGCAAATATTGAGCCGTGTGTAGCTGAAGAGCTTCTCTCTCTTGGCACTAGCATACAAAAGCAGGTCATCAGGTTCGCTTCCATTCTCCTCCATCGAAGAGTCAATCACCAGGCCTTTCAGGTGGCTGTTGGCCTCGCTGGTAGGGGATGAGACTCTACGCTGCGCCTCTGGACCGCCGCTGCTGTCCAAGTCCACTGGGTCAGACACTGACCCGCACCACCGTGTCTCATCCTTGAACACCTCAGCCAACACACGGCCGCTGTTGGCAGATGCTACTCTGAACCTGACCGTCCTCACTGTCTCCTCTTTGACTTTGGAGCCCTCCATTTGACCACCACAATACTTCACATTTCACACCCCAGTCAACAACACCGGACATACTCTTTCAATCTAAGCCGTAACCAATTACTGCGCACATATCCAACACAAACATCCCGACGTGCCAAAATGAACCGAAAATACCCAGAGTGCAAAAACCAGACACCAAACTGTTGAATAATAAAGGAGCCTCTGTCATGGCAACAGCTAAAACGGGCAAACCGTAAACTGATACGTATCAGCATGTTCAATAATGGACTGGCCGTTTTCCAGGAGAAGATATCTGTGTCTTGTCTCGAAACGACATACGAGCAGAGGTGTGATAAACTGGCACTGACCGAGTATTACCCCTCAAGGAACTACCGATGACCTTCTGCGCTAACTGCTCCCTTGTAACTTTTGTTTGACCCTGCAATCTGAAGAGTTTCTCACCCAGGTGTTCTACTGGACACTCATTCTGTAAACGCCACGTTCAACAGGAGGGAAGCACTGTGGAAGAGTGGGTACAGTCAAAATCGATAGTCAAAGGGGTCAAGTCTTGGGTAACTTGCATTTTTGGAATGTAGGTGCAGGGTGAATAGTTTGGGATTTTTGATAATACTATTTTGTGTTGACTTTTGTTTTTTTTGTTTTTTTAAATTTAGTTGGCTTTGATTTTTGTTTTCAGACCAGGTTTGTTAGTTTGTATTAGTCATTATTTATTCAACAATGATTTGCTTTAGTTTAGTTTGTTTTCGTTTTTTCAATATATTTGTCAAGTGCAAAAAAAAAAAAAAAAGCAACACTAAGTATTGTCTTATAAAGTCAAGTAAACATCTTCCTTCTTTGGTATGTGCATACAGCAATATCAAAATAAATACTAATCCAAAATGAACTTTGAAAGCTCATGTGTGATATTAAACAGCTTTTTGTACGACATCAATTTCATGTTGAAGATTGGATTTTGATGTCATATTGAGGTTGAATTGACATCAGATACCCTATTTTTAAATTTGCCTCAGTTGTTTTTTGAAAATTGTGAAATGTATATTGTTTAAGTAGGTCAGTGATGCCATATTGAGGTTGAATTGACATCAAATACCCTATTTTTAAATTTGCCTCAGTTGTTTTTTACGATGGCCTGAAAATTGTGAAATGTATATTGTTTAAGTAGGTCATTCCCGAACAGTGTGCCATGAGATCATCAGGTGTTCCCCCAGGAAATCATCCAAATTCACCAAACTGGTTGGGCAATGATAATATTTCTCTCTATTTCATTCGTTCATCTGTCTATGGCAGTGACAGGCAGGACAATTAAATGGTGTTCCACATAAATAATTAACCGGAGTGTGCCACCTTTGTTTTATGATGTGCCAGAACCCAGGAAATTTTTCTAACATGAAATCTGTGTCTTGGCTCAATAAACAGGCTGGGGAAAAAAGATCAGGACCCTCGAAGTGTGTTTTTTCCGTCCCAGCGATACACTTTTGAGGACAGTACTTCCTGCCTGGGTCTGACGTGTAAATCTCCTCCGGTGCTATAGATGGCAGTAGCACGCAGCTATTGAAGATTAACCAACACGAGTTCGTCATTCACGTGGGACAGATTAGTGTCAACATGGGGAAAAGAAGACACAATAAGCAACTTTTGACCAGTTTGTCTAAAAAACAGAAGAAACACTTGAAAGAGTTTGGAGAGGAGCATCCATTTCACGACGTGTAAGTTGCAAAGGAAACGTCTAAAAGGCTGAAAATGGACGATTTCGAGTCAACTAGCTAAGTAAGATGTTGGTTTCTGTTCGGTATCTGTATGGAAGCTTGTTTTCAGTATTGGCCAACATAGTACTGTATTACTGTACAATATTTATAGTGTCAGTGAAATTGTAGTAGTTATATAGTGTAAATGTGTGTTGGAAGTTAAGTTTTCTGCTCAGTTATTTGATGCGGTTTGTAATTTCTGAGAACGTTTCCACAAGATGCTGCAATTTCGTATGTTTCTGTTCTCCTATTTTAACTTGCCCTGATATTTTGTTTTTGCAGAGTCAATGATAAATCTTTAAAGACACAAGTAGTGGAACTGGTGAGTGATGCTATTCCCTTAAACCGGACCCGTGGGTCGTTTCAAAATGTGTGGCCTTTTTAACAACCAACATGATGTATTGATTGTACTAAGTTATCAAGAAAAAAAAATCTGTATTTTTGAAAAACAACTATTTCAAAATAACGCTAAATAAATTCTGTGCTGTAAAATAAAAAAGTTAAGTGAAAAGAAACGCTTAAGATTTTTGTGTACATGCTAGGTGTGTTAAATCTGATCTTTTTGTGTACTCGTTCACGTTACAAAAACAAATGCGTCTTCTAATGTGAACGCTACACATCCGTGATGTGACACGCATGCACACAAAGCTGATGTCGCATGACTCGGACCCAAAAAAACGACGTCATATGGCACAGGATTTTCAGAAGTAAATATAGCCCTGCGTGTAGGGGCTCATTTCATCACATACCGCCAGAGTAGTGAGGTGGGAGAAGGTAGAAATATTTTGGGGCCATGAGGCAATGCGCCTCGATCTCTCATTTAATGGCATGGCTCCTCAAGATGATGTCGCTTTGTTGCTACATGTAATGAATGAAGCGTCTGTGTGTTCAACTGTCACCACTAATTTTTATTCTATTCTTTATGTTTCAAGTGGGTTTAAATTAATGACAAATGTCAAGACGACAACTGTTACCGTATTTTCATGACCAAAAGGCGCACTTAAAAGTCTTAAATTTTCTCCAAAATGGACGGGAAGCCTAATAATGTGGGTCGACTTGTGTATGCACATAGTTCTGAAATCTATGATTGCTGTTGTGTGACTTCGTTGAGGGGTCCGCTTGACTGTTGTGACGATGTGCTGTTCATATAGAGCAGGGGTGCCCAACCTTTTTTGACCCAAGGGCTACTTTTCAAGGAGCCAACCTCTGAATTCAAGGTCAACTAATCCATGGTGCCTTCGTTTTATGAAACTGGGCCATCTATCGATTCGGGCAAGGATTACCCTACAGACAGCACTACTTTGCTCATTCTATTTGCGTTGCACTGCCAATCCCATCGTGAATGGCGCCTTTTTCGACAACCGCAAGCAATACTGTATTATCATAGACAACATTTACATTACATCCACAAAGACGCCTTCTGGGGTACTTCAGTGCTGATTTTCCCATTCCAATTGTTTTTCTTCCACCCTTCATGCTGGTATTTTAAAATTCAAGGCATCAAGCCCAGAACAGTCTGATGCTGAGCTGGATGATCTGGAGAATGAAGAGGAAGAGGAGGAGCCAGAGCAGAAAACAGCCTATCAGAAACTTCTTTCGACACTTAGTCAACCCAACCACATTGACCAAAGTGAAGAGGAGAGCACAGATGAAGAGGAGCTTGTTGACGAAGGCATGCTAAGAGTAAACTATGCGTATGGATTGTGATTATGCTCATTACTGTTGTAATAAGCAAAGTGTTATTTGCAGAAAACTGTGCTGGTGTTAACCAAGATGATGGCGATGAAGAGGCTGGGGAGGAGGAGGAACCCGAAGACTCTGGCGTAGCACTTTCTCAGTCATTAGAAGGCGAGGAGGAGGAGGAAGCACGGGGTGAAGAATTCATTGACAAGGAGAATGAGTCCCAATTCTGCCTGGACACCAACTTGATTGATGAGAGAGGGCCCGAGGAGGTTGTTGATGTTGCTGACCAAGACAAAGGTGAGGAGCAAAGAAGAAACATGTTGATCCAACTGATTTGATATTTTTCAGAACTTGAAGAAAAAGACATGTACTGAATGTGTAATTTGTACTTCCAGATATGTTTTTCCAGCATTTGGGCACAGAGCTGAGTGAAGATGATGTGCAAAAAATTACATCAGGCAGCAAAGCAAAGGCCCAGATCACGGTACTCACTGAAACATAATCTGCACTGTGGGCTTTTAAATCATTAAAAAAAAAACAATTCTTTTGTTGTTGCTTTATTTTGCTGAACTCAGTGGCCAAAATTTGGCTCGCTTCTCTGCGTCACTCCCTTGGAGAGGTTCGGCCCCATCAGCTCTTCCAAAGACACTGAGCTCCCAGCCTTCCACAAACTCTTGGAAGCCGGTTGCAAGAATATGAACGTGTCTGGAAACTCCAAGGATGAAGCTGAGGAGGCGAGTCCTCTCCAGCTGGAGCTGTTGGCTCTAATGGGAACATACAAAGACCTCTACTACTCAGAGACCTGCCCTTTGAAGGTGGGCCCGCAGGTTCGAAACGCTTACTGCCTCCATGTTCTCAACCACGTGCTGAAAGCCAACTCCAGCGTCTTGGCTCACAACGCTCAGCTCAAAGAGCATCAGCAGCAGGCAAAGCGTGGAGAAGTATTGCAAGATGAACTCAGAGACCAAGGTCTAACCCGGCCCAAGGTAAATACTCGCTACAGTCAGTGAATACTTGATTTCTTTACAGGTAGCTAACAGTGTTAATTATCGTGCCAAACTTCTTGCATTCAAAAATTCTCTGTCGAATTTGAAAGAAAAAAAAAAAACACACAAGTTGGATGTACAGTTGTGATCATTGGCCGATTTTCAGTTCATGTTACCAAAGCTATGGGTTCAGTTCAAGCACTATGTAAGTTTTTCGTTTGCATTGCCCCAAATTATCAAGACCAGTAAATCGACAGTAAATATTCATTTTGTAACTTTCATTCTGTCCACCCATCCATTTTTAATACCACTTATCCTGTTCAGGGTCACAAGGGGCTGGAGCCATTACTTTGCCCTTAATTTTAGTGACGATAGTACACAGTCATAGCCATGAATGCACGTGTGTAGTATGAAGACACTCAATATGATATTATCACTAAAACCTAGCATACTGTATTATATGAGGGTCATTCAATAAATAAGGTGATTTTTTGGTATAAGGACTTGTCATACGGATAGAAGCGTACTTTTAAAAAAAAATAAAAAATCTACGTCGTCTCCCAGCACTGTCACACATTTTTCCCATCTGTGCACAAGCTTCCATAATCCCTCAGCGTAAAAATCTTTGGAC